ACTAAATGCATAGCACGCTCTGCTTTCAGAAACATTATCAAATTTCTTGTACCTGATAAGTTGGCCTTCAACAACTTGAGGACTTGTGATTTTGTTGCTTTGATACAGATAATGATTGTTAACTTGAGATGTTTAGAGATTCTCTGCTCATAGATGTACAAACTGTTTGCTTGGCTCTGCTTTCAGAAACATTATCAAATTTCCTGTACCTGATAAGTTGGCCTCCAACAACTTGAGGACTTGTGATTCTGTTGCTTTAATATAGATAATGATTGTTAACTTGAACTGTTTAGAGATTCTCTGTTTGTAGATGTACAAACTGTTTGCTTGGCTTTTACAGTTTGTTTAAAAATATTCAGTACCTGATAAGTTGGCTTCTAGGAGCTTGATGACATGTGATCTTGCATTTACATATAATACACCTGTTCACCACCATTTGCTAAGACACTGTCCATTGTTGAGAAACTTCTGGCTAACATGGGAGCTATTTCATAGCCATTTGGGTAAGATATGAGAATTGTTAAATAAGGAGCCTTTGGGCCCATTTTAATGTAATATTTGCTGTTAATCACAAATGTTTGTTTACTACTTATAGAAATTGAGATTCCTACTTTTGGATTGTTTGAAAAATACCACCACAACACAGTATGTATGAATTCACTATTTATTATTATTGTATTGACCTAGGTTGGGGTTCCTGTTTCCTATTATGAATATGTTTGTTTCAAATAGGAATTTTGATAAAGAACTCGAAACGAACTCTGGAAACTCGAGAGGTTCGTCATTTGACCTATGGAATAAAAGAAGAAATTTGAAATAATACATCAGAATAGGAATAGAAAAGGGCCAACTCTAAAAATCTAATCATAAAATATACAAAAATATATGTGTGTGTTTATTCAACATAAATTAAAATAACAAACAAGGGCCCATTTATACCTCATATAAAACTATAAAAACATACAAGGGCTAATAAGATAGACCTAATCAGATAGACCTAACGCATTTCGGCCTTTACAGGCCTTCTTCAGAGGTCTAATTCATACAGAACATATAGGCTGATGTGCAAAAATACATACAATTCTACATATACAAAATATGGAATAAAGGCCAGAGATCAATTGTTCCAAAGTTTAACCACTGGGCAAGGAAAAGAAATACAGAAATACAAATGAAGCCTCCAGTGAAATCACATGTCCAGTGGTACTTCTCTCTGGTCAACTGTAGATTCATCTAAGGTTGTACAGCCAAATGTTCCTTAGGTTAAAAGCAGTCAAAGGCCACCATCAGAATGGTGCACTGTCAACAAAAAGCATACACACCGTGAGACTTAAACAGTGGCTTAATATCTTCTCCCTCTGCTCTCTTTGGACTATTCTTAGGCAGCACCGCTTCCAGAACGGGTAACGCGATCGAAGGCAAGACCCCAGGCGTCAACGGTTTGTCTCGTATTTGGCTTCTCTATACTGCTGGAGTGTTAAATGCAGAAATGAATAGTCAGAGCTGCACCAGTGGGACCTGTTAAGAAGGGGCAGGCAGCAGCACTTAGTGGCGGGCTGTTTTTGAACACATGGGAGAGGAGAAGAAGAGAGTGGGTTTATACCTTGCCCTTCACTACCCAAGGGAGTCTCAGAGCGGCTTACAATCCCTTCCCCTTCCCTCAACAGACACCCTGCGAGGTCGGTGGGGCTGAGACAGCTCTCTCAAGAACTGAGAGAACTTATGACTGACCCAAGGTCACACCAGCAGCTGCATGTGGAGAACTGGGGAATCAAACCTGGTTCTCCAGATTAGCATCCGCAGTACTAGCCACTATACCAAACTGGGGTTTTTGCAGCTTCCAAAGTGACAGGTGTTTACCTATGGAGTATGGTCACTTCCTGAAATGAAATATGGTGGAATGGGGATTTGTGTGTGTTGAGAACGGGTTTTTCTTTCTAGTTTTTCTGATAATGAGGTCTGGGTACCCCGAAAGGTTGCATGATTTACCAATTGAAACGAATCCAATAAAATACCAGCTGCAGGCAATGGCAAAGCCGTCTCTGAACCTCCCTTGCCTTGAAAACCCTGCGGAGTTGAATAAGTTGGCTCTGACTTAACTTGGATCGGAGACCACGAGGGAATATCTGGGTCCGATGCTCCCACTAAGCTGTAGAGTCTTGTGAGCAAAAATTCTGCTTTGTGAGCTACTGGCATGAAAGATGTGAGCGAGCCATTTGGCTGCTGCGTAAATTAGTTTGCTCTGGATTAGAGATGTAAAATTTCTGGACATTTTGAAGCTCGGAAAAAAACCCTGTCCCCCCCCCCCCCCTTTTTTATATAAA